CCCCAGGCTGCAGTTGCCCCACTTCAACGTCTGCTTTTGTCCTTTCTTCAGTTTACTTCAAAGTGATTTCTGTTTTCATGTAGTTGAAAGGACAGAGGAGCAATGAAAGATGCGGCTCTCTTTCCTTGTGATTGTGGGGAAAACATTTTATAGTTTGCTCTGAAACCACAGGCAGCAGCCAAGGGAGGATGTTGTGGTTGGGTGACAGGCTATAGATATATCCCCACCCTACTTGCACCTCGCTCATGGTGCAGCACAACCTTGTTTACCCACGCTTGCACAGAGCAGCTCGCAAGGTGTGCTGGCTGTGCAAAGAGAGGAGATTCCACAGAAAGCTGGAAATACACCAAAACCTCAGCATCTCTGCTCCATCGCTGCTGCTTAATCTTCATCCCAGTTCAGGGTGATGGGAGAGGAAATGTGGCCAGGCTTTGAGATCTGACCACAGGCAGCTGCTGACCAAGGTCAGTGTGAATTTCAGCCCTCCACCAACAGGCAGCAAGGGCTCATGGTGTGTATTTTTTGCCCCCACAGACTCCACCATCGCCCATGTTCAACGGGACAGGGTAAGTCGTGGCACAGCTGTGCACAGCTCCTTTCTGCAATTCTGCAGCCTGGTGCACACTCATTGTGCAGGGCTCACAGTCAGCAGCTGAAGTAACAGGGTTTCTTTTCTCCCTAAAGCCTCGTCCCGTGCAGCAAATGAGAAACACCACGACATATGCCACGGTGACCCACACCCAGACCCGATAGCGCTGCCACAGGGCAAGGGCACAGGAGCCTTACCCACGGCTGCCTTTGCTCTCCTGCAGAGGACTTTGGGTGCACTTTTGTCTTCTCAGGGGTTTGTTGTCACAGGGAAGGGCTGTGAGTGTCTAGCAAAGACGATGTAGGACTCACACCTCCATCTACAATACATTAATACTTCTAAAGTATATGGGCTATACCAAATCTTACTGTGAGTGTATTGATTTTTTCTGAATGAAAGAAAACCTCTCGCTGCGCTCAGTGGATGACGTGTACACCTAAGTTGCATTATAATGCCATGGGGGTGTTATTCTACCCATCCATGGAGATGTCCATTTTTGACCTAGATGGACAGATATCACTGCAGGGATGTCCTCGCATGTGTGTGTCAATCGGTGAGTGCACTGCAGATGTGGTTTTGCGTTGATGTCAAATACACATCTCTGACTTTGTGTTCCTGATGGCACCTCCGTCTCATGCAGCCACACATGGAATAGGACGGAGCAGACAGACAGACACTGAGGCACAAAGGGTGGTGGTGTCAATCTGAAGGGATGCAAATAGCCTTGCAGACAGACCTTACAGAGAAGAACTACACCAGCTCCTTCCTGTTTGGGGTGGCTTTATTCAGAGCTGGCAGGTCGGCCGGGCTTTCCCCAGTGCTCTCTGCCTCTCTCAGAGAACCAGCTGCATCGCCTCTCACTTGCTCAGCTTTTGGCATCCAGTGGGTGTTGAGTGCAGTTGGATTGAGAGAGCTGGAAAACACAAGGGAGAACAAGGAGTGGCCTTGCTCTCACAGTGCCCACCATGGGGAAATGCTGAGAGCATGGAAGGAGGGGGATTCAGACAGAGCACAGCAATGAGAAGCTCCCAGGCTCCTGCCATCTGATGCACTTTTGGCTTCCATTTGCTCTCCAACAGCCTGCCCTCTTGCAACCATCATGTGCACGCTCAGCCTGCAAGGCTCTGCCCATCTCATCCAGGTTGGCATCTGGAGGGAGAACCTGAGTTAGTGCCCAGCCACACACTCAGCAGGCAGGGCTTCCCCATTCTCCACCAACGTTGCCTCCATGGTCACGGCTTGCCATGGCAAAGGCATCAGCACTTCACACAGTGCCTAGAGGAGAAGGGTGAAGAAGGAACGTGGCCCTCATAATCCACGAGGAAATGGTTGGCGACCTGCTAAAGCCCTTGGATGTACACAAGTCCATGGGGCCAGATGGGATCTACCCGAGGGTACTGAGAAAACTGGCAGAGGACCTGGCCAAGCCGCTTTCCATCATTTATCAGCAGTCCGGCTATCAGAGTAGGTCCCAGTTGACTGGCAGCTAGCAAACATGACGCCCATGTACAAGAAAGGCTGCAGGGTAGGCCCAGGGAACTATAGGCCTGTTAGTTTGACCTCACTGCTAGGGAAGCTCATGGAGCAGATTATCTTGAGTGCCATCACATGGCACTTACAGTGCAACCAGGTGATCGGGCCCAGTCAGCATGGGTTTATGAAAGGCAGGTCCTGCTTGACGAACCTGATCTCCTTCTATGACAAAGTGACGTGCTGGGTGGATGAGGGCAAGGCTGTGGATTTGGGCTACCTTGACTTCAGCAAGGCTTTTGACACCATTTCCCACAGCATTCTCCTAAAGAAACTGGCTGCTCATGGCATAGACTGGCATATGCTTTTGTTGGGTTAGCCGGTTAGTTGGGTTAGTTTGTTTGACAGCCGGGCCCAAAGAGTTGTGGTGGATGGAGTCAAATCCAGTTGGAGGCTGGTCACTAGTGGTGTCCCCCAGGGCTCAGTACTGGGGCCAGTTCTCTTTAGTATCTTTATAGATGATCTGGATGAGGGGATCGAGTGCACCCTCAGTAGGTTTGCAGATGACACCGAGTTATCTGCTCGAGGGTAGGAAGGCTCTGCAGGAGGATCTGGATAGGCTGGACCGCTGGGCTGAGGCCAAGTGTATGAAGTTCAACAAGGCCAAGTGCCGGGTCCTACACCTGGGGTGCAATAACCCCAAGCAGCACTACAGGCTGGGAGCTGAGTGGTTGGAAAGCTGCCAGGCAGAAAAGGACCTGGAAGTATTGGTTGAAAGTTGGCTGAATTTGAGCCAGCATTGTGCTCAGGTGGCCAAGAAGGACAACAGCATCCTGGCTTGTCTAAGAATCACTTTGGCCAGCAGGCCTAGGGAAGTGATTGTCCCCCTGTACTCCGCTCTGGTGAGGCTGCACCTCGAGTACTGTGTTCAGTTTTGGGCCCCTCACTACAAGAAGGAAATGCAGGTACTCTTGGGAGTCCAGAGGAGGGCAATGAAGCTGGTGAGGAATCTGGAGAACAAGTCTTATGAGGAGTGGCTGAGGGAGCTGAGTTTGTTCAGCCTGGAGAAAAGGAGGCTCAGGGGCGACCTTATTGCTCACTCTAGATACCTTAAAGGACGTTGAAGCGAGGTGGGGATTGGTCTATTCTCCCATGTGCCTGGTGACAGGATGAGGAGGAATGGGCTTAAGTTGTGCCAGGGGAGGTTTAGGTTGGATGTTAGGAAAAACTTCTTTACCAAAAGGGTTGTTAGACATTGCAATGGGCTGCCCAGGGAAGTGGTTGAGTCCCCATCCCTGGAGATTTTTAAAAGATGTTTAGATGTTGAGCTTAGAAATATGGTTTAGTGAAGGACTTGTTAGTATTAGGTCAGAGGTTGGACTAGGTGATCTTGATCTTTCTGTGATTCTGTGATTCTGTGATTTCATTACATTTCTCCCCACCCAATTCTCCATCCTGTCTAGGTCTCAATGGATGGAAGCACAGCCTTCTGGCGTGTCAGCCACTCCTCCCAGTTTAGTGTCATCAGCAAACTTGCTGACAGCGCACTCCATTCCCTCATCCAAGTCACCGATGAATATATTGACTAGTTAGCTGGTCCCAGTACTTGAGGGACTCCACCAGATACAGGCCTCCAACTCGCCTCCACCCCATTGACCACAACCCTCTGGCTTCTTCCCTTCAGAAAGATCACAGTCCACCTCACTACCAGATGACCGTTCACACACTTCAGGTTAGCTGCGAGGATGCTGTGTATGGGAGATGGTGTCAAAGGCTTTACTGAAATCAAGATAGACCACATCCACTGCTTTAATATCATCTATCCCCCCGCCTATATCCTCATAAAAGGCTCTCAGTTCCGTCAAGCATTACTTCCCCTTGGTGAAGCCATGTTGACTGCCCCTAATGACACTTTTATCCTTGATATGCCTGGAGACAACGCCAAGGCTAAGTTGTTCCATCAGCTTTGCAGGGATGGAGGTGAGGCTGACTGGTCTATAGTTACCTGGGTCATCCTTCTTTCCCCTTTGGAAGTCTGGACTAACATTTGCTTTCCTCCAGTCCTCAGGCAACTTTCCTGATGCCCATTACTTTAAAAAGATAATGGATAATGGCCTAGCAATGACTTACACCAACTCCCTCAGCTCCTGGCATGAGCATCTTGAGCATCCCATCATGACTAGTGGATTTATGGACATCCAGAGATGTTTATTTTTCTTCTAAACAAAACCATATCTGCAATGCACACACCAGTTTGCAGACACATGCAAGCACATCCCTGCAGTGATACCGGTCCCTATAGGTCCAAATGTGCATCAGTGTACGTGCAAGGAAGAGCAGCCCTGTGACTTTATCATGCAGTTAAGGAATACATAATTTCCAGTGAGCACAGGGAGATGGTTTCACATGAGGAAAAAACATTGATACACTCACAATATTACTTGGTACACCTGATATAGTTTAGAGGTATTAATTTATTGCAAACAGAAATATGAGTCCTTCATCCTCTTGGCTAGATACACACAGCATTTCCTGTGACATAAAACCCCAGAGAACCCCAAAGTGCACCCCCCAGCCCCATGATATGGCTGCAAGAACCACCTATAAAATTATAAAGGCAGCCGTGGGCAAGGCTCCTGTTCCCTTGCCCTGTGGCAGCACTATTGGGTCTGAGTTCGGGTCACCGTGGCATATGTCGTGGTGTCGCTCATCTTCTGCACAGAAAGAGGCTTTAGGGAGAAATGAAACAGTGTTACTTCAGCTGCTGACTGTGAGCCCTGCAAAATGTGCGTGCACCAGGCTGCAGAATTACAGAAAGGAGCTCTGCACAGCTGTGCCATGACTCACCCTGTCCCATCGAACATGGGCGATGGTGGAGTCTGTGGGGAAAAAACACACCATGATCCCTTGGTGATTGAAGGGGGGTGAACCCCCTATGTAGCAGGTTCTTAGGCAAGGCCCCCACTGATGAGAGCCTCTGGCTGTGGGCCAGGCTCAGATGGCCACAGAAAACTAACAGCACAGCCCCCAGCTGAACCGCAAGCCTCTGCCCCACTGGCCCTAGCTCAGAGCAAAGCAGAAACTCGAAGCAGACGCTGCTTCCCAAAAGCAGCGCCCAAAAAGATGCTAGGGCAGGCGCCATGGGCAAGGCTGTCTCCTTCTGGCCCTGCCGTCCTTCTGCTGGCACTCTGTGAGTTGGGGCATTGCTGGGTGTGGGGGCTGAGGACTAGAGGGCTGCTGCTGGGGGCAGGATAGATCCGTGGTGGGCACAGGGGAAGTTGGGGATAGCGTGTGTGGGGCAGGCGTGCAGCACTGTGGGACAGAGTTGTTTGGGGGAAAGCAGGAGGCCATGACCCCTCTAAGCAAAGCTCTCTCTGCCCCATGCTGCAGGTACTGGCGTGACCACCCAGGACATCTGCAGCTCTCCAGGATTTCAGGTGCATGGAGGTGGGTCACGAAAATGAACGTGTCCTGGGGAAAGAGATGGGAACAGAGAAGGGGATTATTCCCTCGCAGTTCCCCCTGTGAAGCCCCAGGAGAGCAGATTTTTCCAGCCTTGACATGCAGTTGGTTTTGCCACCTGGCCATCACTAATGCTTGCCTGGGGAATCCCTCTGCCTTCTCTCCAGGTAACGACCAGACTCCAGTCCTGTACCTCAATGCTTCCAGTGCCAAGGAGGGGGAAAGAGTGCTGCTTCAATGTATCCTTGATGAGCAGTTTCCTCCTACACGAGTTGTCTTCTGCAAGAATGGGCTGGAGGAGTTCAGCCTGAAAGCCCAGCAGGGCAGGCTCATCTATGCTCTGGTCCTGAACATCACCTCCAGAAGTGCTGGGATGTACACGTGTGGGTACCAGCAGAGGAACGAGAGCAACTGGGTGAGGAACTCTGCTCTCAGTGCTCCCTGGACCTTGTCTGTGGCAGGTGAGAAACGGCCCCAGAGTGGTGAGGGTAGAAGGTTTCAGAAAACTGCTGAGGCTGGTGCTGTGTGCTGCAGCAGGCAGGGCATGGCTCTCGGATGTTTCCCCCTCAGGAGTGTTCCCTCTCTTCAGAGGCAGCCCCTACAGAGAGAAAGCTGCTCTCAAGGGCTGTCCCCATAACTGCAGCAGCAGGTCGGCTGAGGCATGGGGCTGTGCAGTGCCCATGCAGAGAGAGCAAGAGCTGTGGATGTTGATGGACCCTGGCATGTTCCAAGATCTGCCCTGTACATTGATGAGCCTATGGCAGGGGAAGTGGTGTGATTGTCATGAGACAGGCTATAGCCTGTACATCAGCAACAGTGTGGGATGGTTCCAGAAGGGAGAGCACAGTGGTGCTGGTTTGAGACACAGAAAGGTGCCTGCTCAGCAAGAACAAACAGGAAGAAAAAGGACTCGGGTGTGGCGGTGTGCCAGGTCTTGGCCCCACTAAGAAAAACCCCTTTTGCCCCAAGGTGCAAGTGCTGGTGAGACCATCACTGATATCCAGAGCTCCACAGGTGAGGACAAGCTTGAGGGTGTTACGGCTGCATGGGCATGTCCTGCTCCCTGCCTCTCCCCATCACACCCCGCTGCCCTCACACCCTCTCTCCCCCAGCTCCCCATGCCCGGATCCCGCACACCCTCCCCACAGGCACGGTGCTGGCAGTGGCAGCCGTCGGCCTTGTCCTCCTGTCTGCAGGCAGCTGGTTTGCCATCAGGAAATGTGAGGGAGTGGGGGAAGAAGGAGGGAAGGCTAAGGCCGTGGGGGTCCTGCTGCGGGACTGGTGCGCTAGGAAAGGCGGTGGGGGGAAACCTGGGTGTTTGCGGCTGGGCCAGACGGTGCCTGGGGGCGATGGCTGTGGGCAGCTCAGCTGGGGAGGCTCCCGAGGGAGCTGGGGAGCTTCAGCCTTCATCCCCCAGCCCCGAGATGGGAGCCAGGGCTGGGCAGCACCTTGGCCTGTGCACCTCAGCCCCTGTTCTTCTTGCAGGTGCCTGCAGAGGGAGATGCCCAAGGTGAGCACCATGGGATGGTGGCTGTGGGGTATGGGGGAGGGAGTTGGGGGCATATTGAGGTCGTGGGGTGCTTCTTGGCCAGGGGCAGCATTCTCTGTGTGTGGGTGGCTGCATTCCCTGTGCTGGGGCATGGAGGACGGGGTTTGTCAAGGCGTGGATTTCAGCTCAATACCTCATTTTGGAAAGCACCACCCAAAAGAGTTTCTCACAGTGCCTCTTGTCCACAAATATACACTCCAGAATGATTCCATTCCTCTCCAGGCATCAGCACATTGACAGACCACAGATGGAAGACACCAGCAACGGCGAAGTCCAGTGTGAGTACTACCTCCTCCCTTGGGGGAAGCCACATGCCCCTCTGACCATGGTCACCCCTGCTTATGCATTCCCCATGCAATCCCACCACTTCATCTCCCACTGGGACATACAAAATCCCTGCCCGTTCATCAAGACCAGGTTTCTCTCCAGCACCTCATGTCCTGCTTCTTCCTTGCATGCAGAGTGCGTGCGGCTGCACAAGGGACATGGCAGCATCCCAGTGCTCCCAGGGACAAAGCCCATTTGCTTGGGGGATCCTTCCACACCAGCTCCGGCCTCAGGCAGCATTTCCCCTGCTTCAGCCTCTGCTTTTGTCCTTTCTTCAGTTTCCTGTCAGAGGAATTTCTGCTCAGAGAAGCAAAAAGCACCGCGCAGCAATGAAAGATGTGGCTCCTTGCCCTGGTGGGGAAAGCATTTTATAGTTTGCTCTGAAACCACAAGCAGCACCAAAGAGAGGATGTTGTGGTTGGGTGACAGGCTATAGATATATCCCCACCCTACTTGCACCTCGCTCATGTTGCAGCACAACCTTGTTTTCCCACGCCTGCACAGAGCAGCTCGCAAGGTGTGCTGGCTGTGCAAAGAGAGGAGATTCCACAGAAAGCTGGAAATACACCAAAACCTCAGCATCTCTGCTCCATCGCTGCTGCTTAATTTTCATCCCAGATCAGGGTGATGGGAGAGGAAATGTGGCCAGGCATTGAGAGCTGACCTCAGGCAGCTGCTGACCAAGGTCAGTGTGAGTTTCAGCCCTCCACCAACAGGCAGCAAGGGATCATGGTGTGTTTTTTTTGCCCTCACAGACTCCACCATCACCCACGTTCGATGGGACAGGGTGAGTCATGGCACAGCTGTGCACAGCTCCTTTCTGCACTCCTGCAGCCTGGTGCACGCACATTGTGCAGGGCTCACAGTCAGCAGCTGAAGTAACAGGGTTTCTTTTCCTCCCTAAAGCCTCTTCCCGTGCAGCACATGAGCGACACCACGACGTATGCCACGGTGACCCACACCCAGATCCGATAGCGCTGCCACAGTGCAAGGGCACAGGAGCCTTGCCCACAGCTACCTTTGCTCTGTTCAAGAGGGCTTGTGCAGCCATAACATGGGGCTGGGGGTGCACTTTGGTCTTCTTTGTTTGTTTTGTTTGTTTTTTTTGTCACAGGGAAGGGCTGTGAGTGTCTAGTCAAGACGATATAGGACTCATACCTCCATCTACAAGACATAAATACTTCTAAAATATATGAGCTATACCAAATCTTACTGTGAGTGTATTGATTTTTTCTGAATAAAAGAAAACATCTTGCTGTGCTCAGTGGATGTCATGTAAACCTAAATTGCATTATAATTTTATGGGAATGTTATTCTACCCACCCACGGAGATGCCCATTTTTGACCTACATGGGCAGATATCACTGCAGGGATGTCCTCGCATGTGTGTGTCAATAGTGTGTGTGCACTGCAGATGTGGTTTTGCTTTGATGTCAAATACACATCTCTGACTTTGTGTTCCTGATGGCACTACCGTCTCATGCACCCATATCAGAAACGTGACGGAGCAGACAGACAGACACCGATACACAAAGGGCTGGTGGTATCGATCTGAAGGGATGTGAAGAGCCTTGCAGACAGACCTTGCCGAGAAGAACTACACCAGCTCCTTCCTGTTTGGGGTGGCTTTATTCACAGCTCGCAGATCAGCACGGCTTTCCCCAGTGCTCTCTGCCTCTCTCAGAGAACCAGCTGCATCGTCTCTCCCTTGCTCAGCTTTTGGCATGCAGTGGGTGTTGAGAGCAGTTGGATTGAGAGAGCTGCAAAACACAAGGGAGAACAAGGAGTGGCCTTGCTCTCATGGTGCCCACCATGGGGAAATGCTGGGAGCATGGAAGGAGGGGGATTCAGCCAGAGCACAGCCACGCAAAGCTCCCAGGCTCCTGCCATTGGATGCACTTTTGGCTTCCATTTGCTCTCCAACACCCTGTCATTTCGCAACCATCACATGCACGTTCAGCCTGGAAGGCTGTGCTTGGGCTGAACTCACCTTCACTCTGCCCATCTCATCCACGTTGGCATCTGGAGGGAGAACCTGAGTTAGTGTCCAGCCACACACAGCAGGCAGGGCTTTCCCACCCCTCACCACAGTTGTCCCCATGGTTACAGCTTGCCATGGCAAAGGCATCAGCACTTCACACAGTGCCTAGAGGAGAAGGGTGAAGAAGGGACTGGAACTTACAGAAATGGCTGGGGTCAGCAGAAGAGTCTTGAGCACTGCCAGCACCATGGAGAGGCATAGAGAGAGGAGAGAAAAAATGTCCTGAAGGTCTGCAGCACCACTGCCACAAAGAAGCACAGGGCCATTTGGGCCATTCCCATGGATGATGCTATAATCCTTCCAGGATTCAGCTGAAGTCCACCCCACAGCAAGCCACTTCTCCCATGCGTCACACAGAAGGACAAATCTGCCCCTGGCCATGCAGCGCACCAGGGCCCTGCCATGCCCCCCACTCCCTCCAAAAAACCCCACAGCCAGCAGCCCTTGGTGCTCACCTTGGGCATCTCCCTCTGCAGGCACCTGCAAGAAGAACAGGGTCAGAGGTGCACAGGCCAATGTGCTGCCCAGCCCTGGCTCCAATCTTGGGGCTGGGGGACGAAGGCTGAAGCTCCCCAGCTCCCTCAGCAGCCTCCCCAGCTGGGCTGCCCACAGCCATCACCCCCAGGCACCGTCTGGCCCAGCTGTGCACCCCCAGGTTCCCCCCACCACCTTTCCCACTGCACCAGCACTGCAGCAGGACCCCCATGTCCTCAGCCTTCCCCCCACCTTCCCCCACTCCCTCACCTTTCCTGATGGCAAACCAGCTGCCTGCAGACAGGAGGACGAGGCCGATGGCTGCTACTGCCAGCAC